CCCCAAAACCCCAAAACCCCGCGACAGTATGATCAAATAAATCGATAATGAAATTAATTTAAGCCAGTTTTTTAATCAAGCGAGTGAATTTTTCTTAAAATCCAAATTCTATTGAATGATACCATCTAAGATGAAGTGGATGCTCTGAATTTGAATCTTTTTGTTTTTCTTGAGTTGATTGATTGCATTTTTATCTTCATTCTAATCCATAATGCAAATAGTTGCTTAATTTTTCTCTTTTTCGTTTTATAAAACCTTTCCTCCTGCACTTTCAACGAGCAATTACATTTGCTCCTACTTTAAGCCCTAAATGTTTTTTGAAACATAAATTGAGTGATTTTATAGCAGTTGACCAACTTATTTGTTGTTATACAGCTATTATAATTTGCAGTTATGCTATTTCTCAAATTCTTTATCAATGATTATGAATTTATCAATAATCTCTACAAATTATTTTTTCTTTTGAGATTCAGTAAGCCAATTAGTGTTGACTATTTTAGCTCCAAGATTAATTGCTTGGAGGAGTTTACAATTTCTAATCAACTTTCCATCAGTAACCATAACATCAAATTATTCTGCAATATCATCAATCACTTTGCCTCCAAGTTTCTTAATAATTTCTTAGAATTCCTTTTCTTTAGCTTTCCCACTTACAAGAATTACCATTTAGTGCTGTTACTTTATTTCCTCCTCTACCTTTTAAGATGCTTAATTAACTTTACCTCTTAATCTTACATTTTTTACCTATTCCTATGAATTAACCAACTCTTCATTCAGTTTTGATTTCTTTATATTTTATTAGCTCTAAAGTTAGCTATCATTAGATATCTCATTAAGTTTTCTCTTTTTATTATACCTCTGACTTTATTGCTATTACAATGCAGGCTCGTTCTTCCTTTCTTCAAGAATATCATCTAAGCTATCATCTACTGAATTATCTGCTTCATTCTTATCTGATTACTTTTTTTTGTTATTATTGATCTTAGGAGCATTACTTTACTTGAACTTTTTATCTTATTTATTAAGTTAGATATTATCTTCCTGATATTCTTCTTCTTTTTCAACAATTTTTGCTAACTCATTTTTTTAGCTTATACCCTAATTCATATTTTTCTTATTATCAAGAGCATCAAAAATGTCATCAACACTTGAGCTAATTGAGTTCCCATTCTCTTTTTTATTATTTCCATTTATTCCAAATTTGGGAGATTCGTCTGGCTCAATATCTAGTAATTTATCGATATCTGACTCCTCAACTTTATTTTACCTTTGATTTTATCCCTAGTTTATGATCAAAGTAGGCTCAATCATATTTCCTTGTTAGAATGGCTTTTTTCTAGCTTCAGGAATAATCAATGTAGCATCTAATAAATCGAAAGGATTAACTTAGGGTTTTTTATTATTTTGTTGATCTACTTTATCTTTCTTCGGAATATTTTATATAATTTATGTTGCGTCATTATTCATATCAAACTTAGGAACTTATGGGTTTTTAAATGGTCTTTTATTCATTTATAAGTTATCAATAATTTATGTTGCATCGTTTAGAATATCTGGATTATTTTACTATGGCATTTTCTTGACAATTTAGTGAGGTTTGTGATTAATTACTTAGGTCTCACCAAACATATCAAAGTTATCTTCATTTGCTTGATTTTAATTATTATTATTGCCTCCTATATTATTTTCAGCAATTAATTAAGTAGCCCCATCAAATAAATCATCTACATCTTAATTCAGATTCTGTTTTTATTGTTATCTTGGTGCTGGCATTAAAAACTAATCATTTTTCTTCTGAATAGGTTCTATAATTTAAGTTGCATCTCCGAAGCTGAAATTATCCTTCCTTTCAGCGAAGACTGGCACTGGACGACGATTAAATGCATTGTTATTATTTGATTTAGCTGGTATTATTTAAGTAGGCTCTAAGAAGTCTAAATCTTTTATCATTCCATTATTGTCAGCTGGTTCATCTAAATCTAATTCATTTTTTATGCCATTTCTTTGTACCTCAAGTTTAACATTTATTTTTTACAGCTACTCTTGCTTTTATGGCAGATATTCCAATTTATAATCTAGTGTATAGTAAATAAATCATATTGATCAGATTTCTGATAAGAATTAAATTGCTCATTACTTACCTCCTACTTGTATGTCTAACTTTTCTCCTATACTATATTCATATGTACTCCATGCATTAAGAATCTGCTTTGCTTTTTCTTCTAAAATAGAAGTTCCACTATCAGACTGCATGTCCATTAGACTCAAGACATCATCTCCTAACTCTAAATCGCAAAAAATATAAATAGCAATATCAGTTTTAAAACTTACTAATAATCAAGTGGATTTTGTCTATTTTCTTACTATTAATCCTAATATCTGATATTAAATTGCTGCCAACCTAGCAATAGGAAAATAAAACTTTTAAGAAATTTTACCACATTACATCCCTATTTAAGGCTGTATATTTTGTGCTGGGATTGATCATTGGTATTTATCACTTTTAGCATTTTGATTTAAAATTATTAAAAAGTAAAATATTTTCAAATTTAAAATCATTCTCTGTGGGGTTTTGGGGTTTTGGGGTTTTGGGG